AACATACTTACTTGGGGCTGGTTGGGTCGCTGTAGATCTACCAAACTGCTGGGCCAGTGGCCAATCATGTCAATCCCTAAAGTATTCCAGTGCAGCTTTACATCAGGCTCTGTAGCTACACTGAATCTGGGGGTGTCTGATGCACTGGGGAATCTCTGTCCAACAAACTGAGGGGACTTTCCTGGGGAGCTTTGCTGACCGAGGAGAACCTCCAGGATCCCCCTGCTTGCTTTTCTCTCCTTCCCTTCGGAGGGAAAACTTGCCCCACCCTGAAAAGCTTCTCAGAGTTGCCCCAGAGCAGAGAAGGTGATGAAGCACTTATGTTTCAAAGAGTAGTTCTCCAAGGAGAGTCAACGGAGGGAGCTGAGATGTTAACATGAGGGCTTGAGGAGACTGGCTAGAGGCTGCCTAAGAAAACAGAACCAAAACACTGTAGAGAAGTCAAAGCCAGTAGTCTGCCCGTGAGCTTCATGTTCATAATTTCAGCCTCTCCACCTATTTCCTTTCTCTGGTTAGCAAGTTCCATAGTGCTGTTCTTGTTTTCTTTCCTCCCCAGAAGCCAGTATAATTGCTTTAGCACTTTAAACAAATCATTTTCCTCCCAGATTATTTCTGGTCACACTTGGGATTTTTAATGCTGTTCTTCTTTTCCCAAAGCCATCATGCCTTTCTCTAAATAACTGATGAGAAGTATGTCAAATTTCTATTTTGAATCAACACCACATATACTTTCCTTAACTGTTAAGAGGGCCGCCACAATTTCTGTCTAATAAAGTTAGAAATTTGAATGTGAAAGAAACCATCAAAAGAACCTGATTCCCCCTTCTCCCATCCCCCAAACTAGTACAGTATTAAGGATGGGAAGGATTTTAGAGTTCATGACCTATTCATCAGGTGAGAAAACCAAGACTCAAGGTCACACATCTACCACTTGACAGCACACACTAGAACTCAGGCACCCTGACTTCCGGGCCAGTTAAAAAAGAATGAATCCATGTGGTTTTTAGGCAAGTTTCACTGATATGGCTTATTTTCCCAAATACTTCCAGGATAAGGCAGTAGAAGGCAGGCAGAGGAGTAGTTTATGTCTACCATGCCAGTGAAGAATGAGACGCATGCGATTGCATGGGTATATCCTTTGCCCATCTTCTGATGTTGAAGTGACCAGGGGCACCGTTTGCCGTCTGGGCACACCCTACTCCAGCGTTTGTCACTGGGGAGGCTGGTTGGGCAGGGAGGGTGAGTGAGGGTTCGTGTGCATGGTCTACAGGTGTTTCCTGCTGAGTGTCTTTCAGGGCAAGGCTATCAGAGGGACAGAGAGGGTCAGTGGCCGCACCAGGCTTTGTTTGGTGAGAGCCAAGCCTCAGAGTCAGAGGGAAAAGGGGCCTAGGACACACTTTGTGAGTAAAGCAAAGAGCCTGAGGATCTAAGACCAGAAGGAAGCAACCTCAGAGCATCGGGATGAGAGGAGGCTCTAAGAGCGCTGCATTTCCTTCAACTTAGAACGTAACTGCACTAATCTCTCCCCGGCATCCCTCCAGAACAAGACTTAGATTTCAGCTTGTCATCGCTCCTTGGTCAGAAGGGTTGATCCATAGGGAGGTGTGTTGTTGGCTCAGCAGAGATGCAATCAGGCCAAGTAACCTCAGGAGTTTGGAAGGTGAGGGGTCAGATGTCACCGAACAGCGACAACACTGTAAAATAGGTTTGATTTTTGTGGGAATTTTCTCCGAGCCTAAACTGTAAGAAGCCTTCTTACTATGAGGTAACACTAGGTGAATTTTTGGAAACTGTTGAGTCACTGACATTCGTGAAGACTTCGAATTTCTTTGGGCTTACTGAAAGAAATTATTTTCCTAGCTGGCCTCAATCAGTCAAACACCTGCACATCTTTGAGTCATGCCCTCGTAGAACTCGAATTAAATCATAGGATTGTAACAATTATAGTGAAAGGACAGCTAATTGTTGGGAAACAAATATTCCTATACATTCCAGGTTAGGCTGCTAAGAGAGAATAAAGAGTGCTGAAAACAGCATGCTCTTGAATAGATAAAAATTTGTTCAGACCTTTCCCTAGTAAGCTGAAAGCCACATCTAACCAAAGGTGGTCTGCAATGGGCTAATCTGAGTGCTGCAAAAATCAGGATCGGTTCAAGATGACGATATTGTCTTGGTTTTAAGTCTTCTTTAGTCTTCTGCCGCACCATTCTGCTTGCTCCAGTCTCTGACTGGGACAGATGGGAGCTGGTGATGGCTTGGTGCTGGTGAATTAATGATTGTCCCCTGCCACCTCCACGACTGTAAAACCTCCAAAGCATTCACATCAAAGGACTGGAGAACAAAATGCAGTAGTTACAAGTACCCGCATTCAAGGGGCAATTTCATCCATGTCTAGGCCAAGGACTACCTCCCCTTTCCCCCAAACAATCCCTCCCAACACAGAGAAATAAAGGAACAAACAAAAAAGAGCTAGGCAATGGAATGAAATGACACCCAGCAGTGCTGTTGGAATTATGAGAATGAGTCAGTCTAATCCTCAAACACTTCCAAGAACAGTGGGGGAAAGCGTTCCGTGGGGCATTCCACCTTCATGTGCAGGAAGCGGCTGGCATGGCAGGCTCCAATCATCCGCAGATCTGTCACCTTCATCAGGAGTTTTGGCCAAAAGTGAGTCACGTGGTGTTTCCGGTAATTGATATAGTGTTCAAAGGCCAGCAGGAAACTATCTTGGTATTTTTCTATTCTCTCAACACAGGCAAGCCCTGGGCGGTCTGAGGGGAAGAAAGAAGATGGAGGTTAATTTGGAGGCAGAAATGAGAAGGCTTGCCTGGTCCAGTTCAAGCCCTTTTGTGTGAAGTGGGCCGATCTGGGGACTTTCAACTCCTAGGAATGGGCATGGAGGCTATAGGAACTCTGGGGCATCGGGGACCAAGATACCAGGGAGTGGCATAACTTACATGAAGCGAGTCAATGCTTTGTTCAGATGAATGTCTCTAGTTTTAGACAAATCACCTCCTTGGGTGTGAAGGGCGCTGCCTCCCTCCTAGGCTGCAGAAAGAGAAGCCTTGCCTAGAGAGCTGAAATACTCCGCGTAATGAGGAAGCGTTTTGACAAGCACGGACATGCAGAGAAGAGGGAGGTGTGAAAAGAGACTGTGAAGATCTCAGGAGGCCTGGTTGCCAGAAGAGGAATGTCCGATGGGAAGAAACGCTGGTGAAGACAAAGCAGCACAGTATCAAATTTTAGTTGTTTACCTTCCCGTCCCTTATACCTTTGGTTGCTACCGTAGCAGCCCTGGGTTGGTGGTGTCTTGGGAAATTAAAATGAAAAGAAAAGGGGACGTGAGCGACGCTAGGGTCACCCTGTGCAGAGAAGAGTCACAGTGGGAAGCTGGAGCTAGAGGAGACCATGACCATGTACAGCCCAGGAAACCTTCCCAAGTCTTGGGAGGACCACTGGTGTAGGAGAGGAATCAAGGCAGTTTCAAAAAAACGATAAAAGGATGTCAAAAGAAGGCTGGATGACAGGGGGAATATCTAGGCTGCAAACGATTGGGTTGCAAAAGTGGGTACAGAGGGACTGTACCTCAACATAATAAAGGCCATATATGACAAGCCCACAGCTAACATCATACTAAATGATGAAAAGCTGAAAACTTTTCTTCTAAGATAGAGGACGAGACAAGGATGCCCACTCTTGCCACTTTTATTCAGCATAGCATTACCAGTCCTATCCACAGCAATTAGGCAAGAAAAAGAAATAAAAGGCATCCACATTGGAAAGGAAAAAGTAAAACTGTCACTATTTGCAGATAACATTCCCAACTGCATCAAAAAGAATAAAATACCTAGGAATAAATTCAGCCAAGGAGGTGAAAGACCTATACACTGAAATCTATAAGACACGGATGAAAGAAATTGAGGAAGACACAAAAAGTGGAATAATATCCCATGCTCATGGATTGGAAGAATTAATATTGTTAAAATTGTCTATGCTACTCAAAGCAATCTGAAGATTCAATGCAATCCTTATCAAAATTCAATGGCATTTTTCACAGAAGTAGATTAAACAACGCTAAAATTTGTACGGAGCCATAAAAGACCCCGAATAGCCAAAGCAATCTTGAGAAAGGAAAACGGAGCTGGAGGCGTCACACTGTCTGATTTACAATAATATTACAAAGTTACAGTCATCAAAACAGTATGGTATTAGCATAAAAACGGACACATAGATCAATGGAACAGAATAGAAGGCCTAGAAATAAACCCATGCATGTGTGGTCAATTAGTTCACAACAGAGGAGCCAAGAATATACAACAGGGAAAGAACAGTCTCTTCAGTAAATGGTGTTGGGAAAACTGGATAGCCACATGCAAAAGTATGAGACTGGACCCCTGTCTCATATCATATACAAAAATTAGCTCAAAATGGATTAACGACTTGAATGTAAGACCTGAAATCATAAAACTCCTAGAAAAACATAGGTGGTAAGCTACCTGGCCTAGGTCTTGGTAACGATTTTTTGGATTTAACTCCAAAAGCAAAAATAAGCAAGGGGAACTATGTAAAACTAAAAATCTTCTGCACAGCAGAGGAAACCGTCAACAAAATGAAAAGGCAACTTACTGAATGGGAGAAGATATTTGCAAATCATATATCTGATAAGGGGTTAATATCCAAAATATATAAAGAACTCATACAACTCAATAGCAAAAAGCCAACCAATCCACTTGAAACATGGGCAGAGGATCTGAATAGACATTTTTCCAAAGAAGACATACCAGTGGCCTACAGGAACATGAAAAGATGCCCAGCATCACTAATCATCAAGGAAATGCAAATCAAAACCACAATTAGATATCACCTCATACCTGTCAGAATGGCTATTATCAAAAAGAAAAATAACAAGGGAACGCTTATGCACTATTTTGGGGAATGTAAGTTGGTACAACCACTGTGGAAAACAGTATGGAGGTTCCTCAAAAAATTAAAATAGAGCTACCATATGACCCAACAATCCCACTTCTGGGTATTTATCTGAAGAAAACAAAATCACTAAGTCATCAAAGACATATCTGCACCCCCCCATGTTCTCTGAAGCATTATTACAATAGCTAAAGTGTGGAAACAACCTAAGTGTCCATTGATGGATGAATGGATAAAGAAGACGTGATTCACACACACGCACACCCACCCTGGAATACTATTTAGTCATAAAAATGGAATCTTGCTATTTGCAACAATATGGATGGATCTTGAGGGTATTATGCTAAGTGAAATAAGTCAGAGAAAGACAAATACCGTATGATCACACTTATTTGTGGAATCGAAAAAACAAACAAAACCCCAGCAAGCTCACAGACACAGCAGATTGGTGGTTGCCAGAGGACGGGGGTGGGTGGGTGAGATGGGTGAAGGGGGTCAAAAGGTACAAACTTCCAGTTATAAAATAAATAAGTCATAGGGATGTAATGTACAGGTGACTATAGCTAATAATACTGTAATTGCATATTTGAAAGTTGCTAAGAGCGTAAAAGTCCTCATCGCAAGAAAAAAATGTGCAACTATATATGGGGATGGATGTCAGCTAGACTTATTGTGGCGATCGTTTTGAAATATATACAAATATCCAATCATTATCTTGTACACCTGAAACTAATGCAATGTTATATGACAATTATACCTCAATAAAAATTAAAAAAAAAAACAGAACTGTATAAACCTGAATGAATTCCTCATACAGCCTCAGGGAGCCCTACCATCCCCCTGCCCACTTCTCAGGTTGTGGCTCTGATCAAATACATTCATGCTTCACGTGTCTAGTTATTGCAATATCTGTATTAGTAAAACTCTAAGTAGGGCTCTGCTTAATCTGAAAGGAAGAATCAGGGCTATTGTCTCAATGCACCCTTCTGAGTTTAAACAAAATATGCTGGCTTTTGAAATCTGCTATCCAGCTCAAATTGCAATTTGTGCATTTTGATTTCGTGTTTTCCTTCATATTTAATGCTGCTGCTCTGAGGCTCTGCTCAATCTCCCTTCTGTTCCCCGGCTCCTCTCTCTCTCTGTATGTGCCAGATAAATTCTCCACAGGATCCTGTAACTTTTGATCCAGACAGAAAATCAACATGATGTTTGCTCTGCACTTACTTTGTTCAGTTTCTTTATTTTAAAGGACACTGAAGGCCAGAGACCCTAGCAGCTTCACTCGAGGTCACACAGGGAGGCCTTCGATGAGTTACACATTTTATTTCCTTAAGGATAATTCTACTGATGGGCCGAGGGCCCTGGCTTCCCACTGGCTGTTGACTGGAGACTGCCCTTGGCTTCCAGGCGCCACAAGCAGCTCCGTCACCTGAGCAAGGAGAGTTGTCAGAGCACATCTGCTCCCAAGAGGGACTTGCGTATAATATAATGTAACGCAGTCACATGGGTGACGCTGAATTCCCCAGATTCTAAGTGGAGTAGGTCATGGGTTCTCACACACTCAACAGGAGGGGGTGAACATCAGAAGAGGAAGAAAAGGGAAGGCCGTGCTAGAGCCTGCCCACCACACAGGGTAAGGGTATGAGTGACACCAGCGTCCTGTGCGAAGTCCAGTACACACAAAACCAGAAGGGGGCAGGGTTGGCCAACTGCCCCAGGCAGGCTGGGCAGTGTCTATTGAAGAGGGACCATTTCATCGAGTCTTTAGCACGGCTCCTCTCTTCCCTCCCCACTACATGGGGAGACTGCAGAAAGCATCAGGAGCCCGACACCCCACTTCAGGTCCCAGGCCGTCGGCAAACCCCTGCTCGCTCGCTTGCTGGAGGGGGAGCGAGACGTGATTCTGAAGCTACCGGGGGACTGGAAACTCATCAAGTGATCTGAATGCACACCAGACAAGCGCGAGCTCTCTGGATGCCCAGTCTGGGCACACTCACCTGAAGACATCAGCAGGACGGCCTGAAGGAGCGCAACTTCAGTGTCATCCAGGTTGAAAGAAGACAGCGACATGCCCAGGTCGAAGATGGCGTCTGACACCACCCCGAGACCCCCGTTTTTGAGCTGGCCCCGAGTCACCGCCATCTCCCCGTTCAAGGTTAAAGTCTCACTTTCTGGATCGTAGCGCACAGCAGCGCGAAGGGACATGATCTCCATGCAGCAGCCTTTGAGGAGGATTATCTGGTCTTCGCATGGCAGCTGAAAAGAACCAGGGCACGTTAGCAAGGAGCAGTTGCCAGTTAGGAAGCGCGCACGGGGCCTCCAGGGCCACGGGGACGGGTCCCCCTCAAGCAGCACCCGTCCTGCCCTCTGTGAGCCCGTGGCCTTCCCTTTCTGCTCGGCTGCAGACGTCCACAACCATTTTTCATACTCCAGACTGCTCGTAACCTTCACCAACTTTAATCTTGGTCGTTTGCATTATATTCCAGTCACATGTGAAACTGTGCTAGTCACGGGGGTGTCTATTACACCACCAGAGACCTGCCTAAATGCACCCCCATTTTGGTCTGGTACCTCTAACAGTCAACAGCTGACTCCACCGTTTAGCTGGCAACTGCCCTGCTCTGTTTTTAGAAGCAAGTTTGCTCCCTGAATCTCTTAAAAGGCCAAGAACGAGGAGGTCGCTTACAGATGCATGTCACCCACAAGACCGAGAGATGTCCCAGCTTTGCTCAGTCACCTAGTGAGCCAGAGGTGAGACCAGAATCCAGACCTCCTGGCTCCTAGGTCGTTAACGTTCTCCTCAGCACCTCGGGCACCAGAATCACTCCACACGCTGGATCTTTCCGCCAGTGTCCTAATCTCATTTTAAGCTCATTTGGTTGCCCTGGTAATTAGGGTTTGTGATAATGTGATAACAACATCAATAATAAACTTAAAAAAAAAAACTATGCGAAGAGAAGTAATAAAAAATGAGAGTTTGATTTTCTGGAGGGGGAGAATGTTTAAGTGCCATTATCAAAGTAGTTTGAAAGACTATTAGTTAATGGGTGTTTTTGATGAATTGGGCATCGTGCTAAGATTTACACGCATCACCTTGTTTAATGTTCGCAGCAATGCATGAGGTAAATATTCTAATTCCAATTTTACTGACAGGTGTGGAAATTCAGGCACTGAGAGGTCGAACGACATGCTAGGGAGTCCCATGAGTGTTTGTGGGTGAGGCGAGGAGTGGAAGCCAGCTCTGTCAGAATCCAAGGCCAAGAGAAGCGGGGAGCTCGGTCTTTGAAGGGCTTTGGGTGTGCGTTTCCGTCAACAACGAACATGTAATGACACGTAATTTCTATCTCTTCATTAAAGCAGGTACCAGTTCTCTTTTGGGAAATACTCTTGGCAACACTTGACTAGTTCAATTTAGGATATTATGTCAGACTGAAAGTAATACTACTGAATTACCTTTAAAATACGGGATATTTCATAGTTTTTACTAACTCAACCTACGCACCTTACTGTTTAATTTAACTGCTTTGCTTTCTCTATAGAATAAAAGGCATTTTGTATTTAGTTCTGGAATCCATTCATGTGAATTCTCTCCTTCTACTCATTAAAAAAAAATGACTCTGATTTGCTTTTAATTAGGCTCTAATTTGTACCCCTCAGTTACGTCCTTGGATTCCTGGCCCTGGGGCCTGCTAGGAAACAGGAGATCAGAGCTTAGCTAGATCCTCCACAGGCAAGTGGAAAGCTGGCTGAAGTGTGTGGACACTGGCTTAACTGCTGAGGGCAGCGGTCCTGTCTGCAGCCCCATCACTGTCACCGAGGGCTTGTTAAACACACTGCTGGCCCTGCCTTCTCGGTGTCTGCATTCTCCTGAGTTCCTAGGTGATGCCCACGCACCTGGTTCAGGGACCTCACTCTTGAGAACCGCGAACATAGAGTAGCAAAGAGAAATGACTCATCAGATAAAACCATTGTTTTCTTTTCTTTTTTCTTTCTTTTTTTTTTTTTTTTTGCGTTA